CCCCTCCCCCACCGGGGATGTGCCCACAACCAAGGTACATGCCCTTGACCGGAATCGAACCTGGGCCCCTTGAGTCCGCAGGCCAGGCCGACGCTCTATCCACTGAGCCAAACCGGCTAGGGCCAGAGAACATTTCTGTGTGCTCCCTGCTGGATCCCTCCCCTCTGGCACGGTACTGAGCACAGAGTCCGTGCTGTGTGAGTGAACGCAGTCTCCTGTGTGCCGCCCATGCACTTCCCATGCAGTTTCTCAATGATCACAATAGCGACCGGCACTGCCATCCTCCCAGATCAGTTGAAGACACCGAGGCAGTGAGTAGCTTCCAATCGTTGCCGCAAACACATGTAGATCTTTTAAAGCTTCCAAAGCCCGGACCACGCCCCAAGCTAATTAAGTGACAACCTCGAGATGGGCACACGGGCGCTGGGCTTTTGGAAGCTCCCCACGTGATTCCAATGTACCGAAGAGCACTGAGGTTTAGGGCGGAGCGACTTGCTTGGGGTCTTGATGGTAAAGCCGGGACGTGAACTAGGTCTGACCTCTCCCAGAGCCCAGTTTCTTAACTGGAACACCCTGTGGGCTTTATGTGGGACCCAGTTCTTGTTCCTCCACAGCCCCTCTGCCTGTCCTGCAGGGATCTGCCTGCCTGGAAGCGGGTTCCCCTCCGCCCAGCCTCCACGCTGACGCAGCGGCACTCACGTGTTGAGGGCTGCCCCGTGCTGAAGCAGATAGTGAACGCAGGGGAGGACCGTGTTCTTGTTCTCCTTGTGGATGACGAGGTGCAGGGGCGTCTGGCCATTTTTGGTGGGCAGGTCCACGGGAAACTGGTACTCCTCCACCAAGACCTGCAGGCATTCGAGCTTGCCTTTTTGGGCTGCAAAGTGGATGGCAGTGAAACCCTGTGGCGGCCAGAGGAGGGCAGGAGGGGGCTGAGCAGGATGGGGGCCCCAAGGTCCAAAACCGAACCTAGGTAGCAGTTCCTTGGGCTTCCTCTTCCCCTCTTCCCTCTGACCCCCCCTTCCCCCCAGGAGTCACTCACACCCCTTTTCTCACGCTGGTATGTGCTCACTCTTCCTTGATGCCCCCAAATGACCCCCCCCCCCCCACACACACAGTGGGAGGTGAATTAGGACGACCTGCCCAGAAAAGGACACCTCTGGGTGCTCTTTGCCAGGTGAGCACTGGGTGAGGAGCTCCTGGCGGGAGGGGAGGATCCTTGCACACCAAAGCCTTACCTTGTTATCGGTGAGGATTCCCTCAAGGTCCGGATTCAGACAGAACCGCAACCATTCCAGGTGGCCCAAGGCGGCTGCGAACCACTCGCAATTGTTGCTCTCCAACCGCCCCTGGACCAGGCTGGA